CACACACACACACACACAAATTAAAAAAATAAATAAAATTTAAAAAAATTATATTGGCACTACCAATAAGAAGGCAAGCAGGCATGCTATATGTCTGGCTGTAACACCCTAAGGGACACATCTGTAGGGCTCCAGTGTAACTTGAGTGTACTATGAGATTACAGGATGGAAATCCAAATTGAGGAATATTTATAAAGTAATTGACCTAAATGTTTTAACACCATCACCGGCATAAAACACAAAGAATGGCCAAGGAACTGTTCCAGACAAAGGGACAGTCAAGAAACACCACAACTAGATAGGAAATGCGATTGTGTCCTGGATACAGTACCAAGGAAGAAAGTATGTCAGAAAAGACATCGGGACAACTGAAAAAATTAAAATACGGATATAGAGTGCATCAAAGTACTGTATGTAAAGTTCCCGAATTTAATTCCTGCGGCTATGCAGACAATATTATTGCCTTAGAAAATATACTGAGCTAGTCAGGGAGATAGCTCAGCCTCTTAAGAACCTGCCTGGCAAGCACAGGTCCTGAGTTCAATCCCTGATACCAAAACAAAGAAAATACACTGATGCAAAGGAGTAAAAGGTCAACATACCTGCACCTATTTCCAAATCGTTCTGAAATAAAAGTAATTATATACACAAAACATGGAGAAAGTAATAAAGTAAATGTGGCACAATAGATGCTAAAATTGGATAAATCTGGGTGCGTACATGAGAATTCTTAGTACTATTCTTACAATATCTCTATGAATTAGAAATCATTTAGAAATAAAACCTATGCCTACAAGTCCCCTTTGCCGCCCTTGACAGCTATATATTCTTTGAAAGTCTCCTTGTTGCAAAACTGCACATGGTAGGTAGCACATTTTATTTGACATATACAGATGCTTTTTTAAAACCCATATAAGTTAGGTATGGTAAGAGATTAACAGCAATAACTTACACAAAAATAGAATTGTAACAACATACTATAATAAAAGTTAGGTGAATGTGGTCTCTCTGTCAAAGTACCTGATTGAACTGAACTCATCCTTGTGATGATGAGAAAGGACACAAAGCTTGTGACGAGTTGAGTAAGTGACTCGGCACTGTGACATGGCATTAAGCTACTGCTGGGTCACTGGATCACAAGCACTATGATCATGTGACTGTCAATCTGACAACCAAATAGCTTCTAAGTGACTAAGTGGCAGATGGCACATAAAGCATGGGTATGGTAACAAGGGGATAATTCGAGTCCCGAGTGGAACAGAGCAGGGTGGCAAGAGATTTCATCACCCTATTGAAACTTTTGAATTGTTTATCCCCGGAATGTTCTACTTAGTATTTTCCAGCTATGGCTAACTGTAGGTAGCAAACCATAAGTAAGGGAAGTACATACTGTGCATCAAGCATAGGTAGGAGCTGGGCGTGG